ATAGAAATGTGCGCATGCTTGAACTTTAAATTTTAATGTTAGCACTCATTCATCACAACTAATTATTTTTTAGATTATTTACCACCCAAATCTTTGAACAAAGAAGAATATAATAATTAATAATAAAAATGCCCGGATGTCCGATTGTCTTTGAACGCACCGAACCTCCCCACGTGGAGCTGGCTGGTCTCTGCAGGGAAAAAAACTGGGTCACCTCGCGCTTCGCGGCGTGTCTCACGTGGACTCGGCCACAGCCCACTACTGTTTGTAGCTGGGGCAGATTATGTAATGCCTACGTCACTGCAGCGCTCAGCCAATCAGCAGAGAGCAGAGGAGAGCGTAAACACAGGAGCACATGGCTCGGCTGGAAGGTCCATGTGAGGAAACAGAAGTGAAGTGCAGCCCGCACTCCTGACCCAGTTTCACATCAACACTGTTTCACCACAACGACCGTTTTAATGTCGAACTTCACCAAAACCAACATGTCAAAATGGTTCTGAGCAGACTTACCGGCCTTACTGGACTCCATGTCCGACTGTGCCTCCTCTCAGAGCTGAAGCCGTCTTCCTTCTGCTGTCAGCAACCAAACGGCGCTGAGTGACGTTTCATCAAACTACAGTTCTGAAAGATCCGACACCAGGACGGGTCCCTGAACACGTCGTGCAGCTGCTGCGCGTTTTAACACCAAAGAGAAAAGTTTCATCCAGTTTTTCACATGAACAGACTCTGAGTGAAAAGTCCGACCCGCCTAGGTCCTGATCCACACGCAGCCAGGTCCATTCAGAGACAGGAAGAGCTGCTGGTCTCAGCAGAACCACGTGACCCACTTCATCCTAAACTCCGCCCCCCTCTGCGGCCACAACCCACTGACACACTTCCACTAGAGAGACGGGTTCATCATCTGAGACTAAGCAGGACCAGGGACAGGACCAGACCAGGGACAAGATAAGACCAGAGACAAGACCAGGGACAAGACCAGAGACAGGTTCATCCTCTGAGACTGAGACAGGACCAGGGACAAGACCAGAGACAGGACAAGACCAGAGACAGGTTCATCCTCTGAGACTGAGACAGGACCAGGGACAAGACAAGACCAGGTACAAGACCAGAGACAAGACCAGAGACAGGTTCAACTTCTGAGACTGAGGCAGGACCAGAGACAAGACCAGAGACAGGACAAGACCAGAGACAGGTTCATCTTCTGAGACTGAGACAGGACCAGGGACAGGACAAGACCAGAGACAAGACAAGACCAGAGACAAGACCAGGGACAAGACCAGAGACAGGTTCATCCTCTGAGACTGAGACAGGACCAGGGACAGGACAAGACCAGGAACAAGACCAGAGACAGGACAAGACCAGAGACAGGTTCATCCTCTGAGACTGAGACAGGACCAGGGACAGGACAAGACCAGAGACAAGACAAGACCAGAGACAAGACCAGGGACAAGACCAGAGACAGGTTCATCCTCTGAGACTGAGACAGGACCAGGGACAGGACAAGACCAGAGAAAAGACCAGAGACAGGTTCATCTTCTGAGACTGAGACAGGACCAGAGACAGGACCAGGGACAAGACCAGAGACAGGTTCATCCTCTGAGACTGAGACAGGACCAGGGACAGGACAAGACCAGGGACAAGACCAGAGACAGGACAAGACCAGAGACAGGTTCATCCTCTGAGACTGAGACAGGACCAGGGACAAGACCAGAGACAAGACAAGACCAGAGACAAGACCAGGGACAAGACCAGAGACAGGACAAGACCAGGGACAGGTTCATCCTCTGAGACTGAGACAGGACCAGGGACAGGAC